CACCACTCTGACCTTTTGAGGCATCAGTACATATAATTTTATTAAAGTTAGAATTACTAGTGAATGTAAGAAACACTCTCTTCAGAAGTTCTCTAGCAATTTCACATTTGCTAAAATTGGTCAGAGTAAGTTGATTTTGGGTATTGCTACTTTCTATGGAGGGACAGAAGTGTGAAGTGGGTGTATTATTAAGCAGATTAATATTAAACACAAGCAGTGTAAGAATTTGTGACAGTTTGAGTTTTCGGAATTTTCGTAATCTGGATTTTGAGGAATAGCAGAAATTCTGGCATAATAGCCAAAGAGGTAATCATTGGACTCAATAGAGGCTTTGTGTAGGACTAGATCTGAGTGCACCTAATCAAATTCTCAGAGCACTATTATGAACTATGGTTAGAGATTTTAAAATAGATTTTACTGCTGACATATAGACAAAGCTGTCATAGTGTAATCTCGATTGGATTAAAGACATATAATTTTAAGAGAACCTTCTTTGCAACCCCAAACATGATGAGATAATAATTTAAGGATATTGAGATGACTCAGGCAATTATCTATTACTTTAACTGTCAATTTTAATTAACACGATGTAGTAAATAAAGATTTTTTTTACAGATTAGGAATTTCATAATATTATGCTATTTATCACTGTCAGGCTGTTCAAATCTAAAAAATTCCTTACAGATTAGCACTATAAGACATATGACACGTGTCATTCTCATACAAACAAAGTAAAATAACAGAAAAAAACCTTTGGTGGTTAATTAAATGCTAATACCGTCCATCAAAAATCAAAAGATGCAAGACCCAGATAAAACCGAACAACTTTTTAATTCCATTAATTACCGACCAGTCCATATCGCAAACGAAAAGAGCGACTACGAATTAATATTAAGTTATTTTTAACAAGAAAAACATGAAAAGACCATTAGGAAATTAGCAGCAGCAGCACTCCTTTCGAATAATAAAAATTTTCCACGTGGCTGGAAAATTGCATGTGTTTTTATCTTCATGAAATCAAGCGATTATCGGTAAGTGAAAAGTGTTACAAGTGGCCGTTAATGAAAAAGACAAATTAACGTCGATTAGTTTCGTGTCTCTTTTTGTTCTCTCAGACGCTATTGAAAGATATGAACGCAACCATTCATACGGAACCATGTCGCTTGGTTCCGTTCATGGTAAACCAACTACCATTTAAAAATAGAACATGGCTAAAGTTGATCAGGGTTACTAGTAAAAATTGGCTGGGTTTACTACTGTATTTACGGTAAGGTTTCAACGGCAAATATTTTACGCAATTTTTTTTAACATACATAGAAATTTTTTGAAACAAAGGTATTTTCCAGAGCTATAACTCTTCCCAATGAGCACACACTCGTTTTTTTAACGTAAATATAACGTTGTACGGTATAAAAAACGTTATGGCAACCCTGACTAGAATTAGTTGATTAACGTTAACGAGACATCTAGCTACCAGAATTCCGTCACTTACTCTTCACTGTAAACAATGCCCATACGTAAGCCGTGTGACTTCTCGCTAACTCTCGTCGAGACGACAGCTTCATAATTTTGGGGTACTTCTACATGTCTTCTTCCACTAGGACCTTTATCGGTTGAGTCTTTTCTTCCGAATTTAGGACAATTTCCTCATTTCCAATTACCAAGATCTTGTTTTGAAGGTCGATGATAAACTTATTTTGCATAATATACATACCAAGGACACACTGATCCTTAATATCGGCCACCAGAAATAAGTGTTTTATCAGGGTATTACCAATCTGTACGGTTGTTGATATCTCGTCTACAGTAGGAGTAGTGTGCCCTGTAGCTGTTTCCAGAACTAAGCTGCATTTCCACGTCCTGTGGCCCATCAGTCAATGCTTGTATGCGTGGCCCATCAGTCAATGCTTGTATGCCGATTTGTTCTAAGAAATCTTTAGATGCCTGTGAATAGGCCAGATGCAGCAATCTTTTAATATCGGCTTCGAATTCTTATAGACTCTCATCGTGTTTCTGACTAGGAACTTTTATCTGGCTTTGGAATACCTGTTTTAAAGGCTGCTAGTCATATTATGTCTCCAAAGCTTCGACAAGAGATGATTAACTGGGTTCGTCTTGGGAAAGTAACTGTAAAACAGTTACGGCCTGACCTCGTAGTGACACTGTCAATGAAGTCGCCATCTCTTTCTTGGTCCAGCCATTGGCTCTAGCTGCAACTTCAAATTGGAGTCGATATTTTTAAGGGTCTTGCTGGTATAGTTTTGTGAAACTGGGATTCGAATGTGGCTTGGTTCGGTTATGGATAAAGACGAGGCAGTGTTTTCAGTTTCATTGTTGCTTACCGAAGCTTGCCCACGAATTATTTTTTCTAACTCATTTCAGCTCTAATTTGCCTTTCTAGCTCTACTCTTGCCTTTTCCTGTTATTGTTCTAAATTGGTTTTTAAATGCTGTTGCTGCTGTTCTAAATGATTTAGATGATCTTGTTGTTGCTCTAAATTAGTTTTTAACTTTTCTTGCTATTGTTCTACATTTGTTTTTAAAATATCTTGTTGTTGTGCCAAAATATCTACTCTATTGTTAATCTGACCAACCTCTTGCTTGAAGGTTTCTTGGATTTGTAGCAAACCGTTCATAATTTCAATCGCTTCTTTTCTATGCCTCTCCTCCTTCTCTTCTTATTCGTCCTTACTGTGCCTTTTCTTTTCCTTGTCTTCTTCCTTCCTACGCTTTTCCTTTTCCTCTTCTCGCCTTACTCCCTCCTTCTGTTCTTCCTTCCTACGCCTTTTCTTTCTTAATAGTAACATAAAACGTTACATACGTTATATTTAAATGCAATTTGTGGTTATGAATAACGTTATTTTCCGCGACATTTGAACTATTTCTTATACGTTTGGTTATCAACCAGTTTTCGACGTTTCTTTTCCTACGTACGTGTGCTCGTTGGGTTAGTGAGAGGTTATAGGCCATGAAAATTTATTTAAATACTCATAAACTAACTTTTCTGTCAAATATTATAACTTTTCCAAAATAACATTATTCTTCCTGAAATATTGGCAAAACACCTAATTTGTGGATTAATTATGGACTGTAATGAAAGTTTTTTGTATGTTTGCCAAATCAGTAATAATTAATATCTAATTATTGTAAGTTTATTGCCAATCTATTTCTAAGTTCACTGTTAATGTCTACAATTTTTTTTGTCAGTGCCAAAGATTACTGTATTATTGTAGTTTACGTCTCTTTTCAATTTTTAATTTCTACTATTTTAAGCAGTAGACGTGCCTCACTAGCCAGAATCGAATTCTTAAACTCTGTATTCAGCGGTACTCTGTGATTTATTTGACTGTTGAAATCAATCAGATTTCAAAATTATTGATTCCTCAGATTGTCTTCTTGTTGATAATGCTGTACCTCAAGGCCCTGTTCTGAGGCCGCTACTTTCTTTACTGTACATTAATGACTTGCCCAGTATTAACATTAATGGTTTATTTTCTATTTTTGCTGATGATAGGACCATAATGTGGCACGATAAAAATTAGGACACTTTAACTAACAAATGTATTGCTAATATTATTGTAATAAAACAATTATGTGATTCTAATGACCGTGTTATGCATATTAATCTTCAATGTGTCTAAAACTAGATTGATAAAAGTCAAATGTTGTTCTTGGTCAGCAAAACATATAAAATAAGAACAGTTTAGATTTGTATTTATTTTTCACTAGTAGAGTAGAATAACATTTAATACATGGAATGTGTTTGGGAAACGTTCAAGCAGGAACTATTTAAAATAGTTTTTCTTTTCAAAAAAGGCTTATTTGTAAAGTAAACTTGGATGATTTACGTAACATTTTATACGAAGATAGACTACAATTTTGTAGGTTATGTTATAAAGCAAAACGAAAACATGAAAAAATGGTGTTAAAAAGCGGGAACAAGAAAATGTTTTCGGAGACACAAATGCAATACTCAGTAATAGGGAATTATATAGCGATCATACAAAAAAAAGCTTTTTGGCTTTTTTATACAATTGTAGTAATGCAGGTGTCGCTCATTTATTGTAACCAGTCAATTGTGTACGATGTGTATAACGAGAAACGACTAAACGACCAATAGAGGGTGATTTCGGGGTGATTATATTGAAATAGTGTTGCCCGCAACGGAATATATCCCTTGATTTATAATAAAATCCACCCCCGGATCGCCAGAAACGAGCAGTTTGTTTTGTGGGGTCGTCGAAATTATTGTTATTTTTATTGATGGCATCATTTAATGTTGTCAGATACTTAGTTTTCACTTTTTGGAAGCGGATAAATTAGCCGTAATTGGGAGGCGGGTATCCGGTCACAAGCGTACCTACACGAAGAAAACTATTTTATTTAATAGTCTATTTTACAATAAGCATATAATGTGGTGTATTTTAATTAATGAAATTTAATAGTATAGAAAATTAACGTAAAGTGTAATATAACATAACCTCAACTAGAATTATTCAAATAATTACTACTTATTTTGAAAATAAATAGGCTTGGATAATATATTCTTTGGATATAGGTATATCGAAAATAAAACAAATAGTTTCCAATCAGGCAATGATCAAATCAAGATATAAATGTTTGTGTAAGCATAAAAACTTATAAGATTTATGATTATAAACAAGTAACTAATTACATCAAAGCACCAATAGTAATTTCACATAAAAATTAAAAGAATACTTCAAAAAAATCATAAATATTTAATGCCTATATATTTGAAATTTTGCTAGAGGAGTCTAAGGGATATACACAACAAATTAAGAAGTCCAATATAAAGGATTTAAAAAGTTTTAGATGGTATATTCTTTATATTAGCACCAGAGAGAATTATTATGAAAATATTAAATATTAAAAATTAAAAACAAAGTTCTTATCAATAGAGGATAAACTTTTTTAATAATTTTTAGATATATACAGAAAGTTTTATGTCCACATTTTTTGTATTTAGCACTTTTTACTCACCCATTTTGATCGGAAACCGTTCCTTGCATCCACGACCGGGCCGTGGATAAGGGCTCCTCTTTGAGGCTGGGCCCTCGAGGTTGGTGGTGATGGTGCAGCCCGGTAGCATCTTGGTGATGATGCAGACCGAACATCAGTCCAGGGCCGGTAACTCTAGAAGTACCCGTGCCTAAAATAATAACAAAAATAATAAAATAGTATATTCTTTAACAAGGTTGCTATACTATACATTACATGACTTTCCACTAGCAAAAATGATTTTGGAATAGTTTAATCCATAAATTGGTCGTGGAGAATAGTATATTCTTCAACGATAATAGTCATATTCTAAGCGAGTTGAAGACTATACTTTCTTCACGATTATTACACTGCTATACATGGTGATCTCAAAATCTAAAAAAATTTATATAGTGGAGGCAAAAGTCGGGATTTTGGCAAAGAATAACAAATAAAAGATACAGTAAGCGTAGTATTTTAAAGATATTTTTATTGTTAAATAAATTAGTTAACTACATTAAAAAAACTATGAAAATTAAAGTTAAGCAACGATATTTATTGTATTTATGAACATTTCATGTGAATTTAAAAATTCTAAATGTGGAAAATATATATAGTTTTAACGCTTATATTAAATTTTTATATGAAGCAATATTTATTGTTATATTGGAACAATTCTTGAAATTTAGCGGTGTTGCGTTGCAATCAAGGTTTACATTTTTATTCACGGAGTTAACCGATGAAGAGGATAATGCAGAGGATGATGCTGGTAAGAGGTTGCTTGAGCTGGTTGGCTGAATGAAGTCTACAATTTTATTGGCTGTATTCATTTTGTTTCTAAATGAATTTTCTATGTATCTTCTACCACAGTGGTGCTTTTTCAACCCCCATGCCTTTTTAAAGCTGTAATATCTCTACCAGCATCAATCAGTAAAGTGACAGATGATCTTCGGAAACTATGTCCAGTATATTTCTACAGGTTTGGCAATTCCAAAAAAGTAGTTATTTATTTTCCTATTGTAAGAATCAATTTATTATTACATAGTCATGAAGAAATGAATATACACTCTTACCAAAAGGGTTGTGATAGGATTTAATCTCTTTATCATAACGCCTAAATCCATTAAACAATTTGTTAACTGTTAATTCATTAAAACAAATCTAAAATGTTTTACTAGCTCTTTAATGTACTCTGTTTGATAATTTTTTTCTCATAATAATTACGATACATCAATGTTTTATTCTATAAATTATCTATTGAATATTAATGTTAAAAAAGTGTGTAATATTTGATCTATTTATAAAATGTCCTATGAAAAATAAGCTATGTGATCTTTCTATCTATATGCATATAATATTTAAACTAGTTACAGCATAACCTTGCATTGAATTGCAAGTTACAAGGCTAAAATAAAATAATGAATTTTGAAAGAAATATAACAACATAGGATAGATAGTATTAAAACCACAATGTTCAGAAACAGAGTTAAAATAGAAAAAAAGAAACTAATAGTTATAATTGAAATAAAAACTATATTTGCTACATTATGTTAATTTTTTTTTAATTTAATAATATTCCGAATATATAGTTTTGAAATGAGATCATAGAGGCAACAACAACTTACAATAAATGATTTTAAAGTCAAAGAAACTAAAAATATTAAATTGAAAAAATATTCCTTCAATACTCAGGATCGTTATATAACTAACTTGCCTAAATAATGTTATAAATTAATTTTTATTATGAAACTTGTTACTATATAATTATTATATTACCTAGTTATTTAATAAAAACAATATAAAAGTTAACTCTCTTAAAAAAATAATAAAAATGTTAAAAAAAATTACATTTTATTATTTGGTAAAAACTTTGAAAGTTAAAAATTCTCTCCATATTATTTAATTAGTCATTTTGAATGTAATCTTAATATATATTTTTACAAGACACATTTAAACACCTATTTATACCTACCTACACAATACGAAATTTAATTTATCAAAATTTACTATGACTAAAGAAAGATTACTTGTAACAAATTTATTTTTAGAAATCAAATAAAAAAAAAATTATAATAAGATCTAAAAATGTTTTCTTTTTGTAATATATTATGAAAGTTTTAGTTTAATCATTGTATTTAAATTTTCGTTATTTTATTATCACAAAGCCAATTATTTTAATTTTTTATAAAATATATTTGATTAATAATTTAAATAATTTTTTTTTTATTTTTATATTGTTTTAATTTTCGTATGTCGAAATTAGTTTTTCAAATGGTACGTATATCAAATTATTTTCTATAAAACATGAACATTTTATGTTAAATACAGTTATAGTTAATAAGAAAAACTAATATTTTTGTGTAGGTATGAAAATGGTAATTTTATAAAAATTTTAAAATTAGAATTCCAAATACTTATATGTACTTTTAACATTAAATATTTATTAAAGATGGCTGTAAAAATGTAAACGAATTTGTTATTTTTTAATTAATTTTTATATGAATATTATCCACATGCCTACTTAATTTTATGTGTTAATGGTTTAGAATTTTCTTTATTTAATTGATTGTTAAAATACCTATTCTTTAATTATGGATTTTAAAGTAGGTATAATCTTGAAATATTTTTCTGATTCTAATTTTTCCACTATGAAGTTTAATTTAATAAAACTGACTTGGCACACTTAGAGTAATGTACCTATAAACCCAAACAATTTAAATATATAATATTCCAAAATATATCAATTTAGAAGAGAAAATATTTCAGTGGGTTGTCAAGTTTATTATTTTATTGTTTTAGTTTAATTAATGCATTGATTTAACTTTTAAATGATTGTTATAATTTAGGTTTATAACAGGTTTATTATATTTCATTTTTAAGTTTTTAACTAAGAAAATTTATCTAATTCATTGATTTTGATTCAAAATGATTTTTACAATATATTGGTGAGATTTAGATTTACCAAGTTTATTATTATATATATTTTTTTATTCAAGAAACACATTCAATTCATTAATTTCAGTTCTAAATGATTTTTATAACAGATTTGTAAGATTATATTTCTATCCAATTTGTAAATTAGTAATTTTGAGATATCATTTTGATGTGTTAACAATATTAATTTCATCTTCGTTTAAAGTAAAATTTAATATATTTTAAAATAATATACAGGTGTAGGTAGAATAACTTAAAAATCTAGGAAGGTACATTATTATACATATTTTTATAAATTTTATTTTGAATTTGGTGAATTATTGAAGAAGTAAATAATAAAACTGTACAACTATAATGAAATATTTGAATCAAAAATATAAAAATTTTTCGTAACTAATTTAATTAATGGTGATTTTTTAGTATTATTCAACAACATAACTAATATTTAATAATTAATTTTTTCTGCATGACTTTTCAACCAAATTTGAATTTACCACCATCTTGAAATATACATAGATTTATTTTTAAACAAATAAACTGTTTTACAAATTTTACTGACTTACCTTAAATATTGGTAATTTTTTGTAAGTGAATAAAGAAAGTTGTAGTTACTTTTTTTATTTTGATTTGTCATAGGTATATAACATTTAATATATTTTAATAACTAAATTTTAAGTTTTCCATGAATTTACATTTATACATCTCTATTAAATATATATTAAAGAAAACATTCAAAATTTCAGTAAAAATTGTAATTTTTGTATTAACTAAATGCATAAGGGTGTTTTGTTGAGTGTTCCTATGCATAAAACAAAAAAAATATAAAATTTGTGTAACTTATCAGGGAATAAAAATGTATAATCATTTACTGCTGGTAATCAAGTCCATAAATAAAAATATGTTCAAAAATGCTGTCAAAGAACTGATAATTACTAAATGTTACTATAGTGTAGACGAATTCTTGCAAGATAATTTTGTAATATAAATTAAACCGCCATAAATTTTATTAAATTATTAGATAGCACTATTTTAAAAAATAATATTTTTTTTATTTATGTGTTATATACTAAACTTGTTTGTCTTAGTATTATCTTCACTTAGCCTTTACATTATAAATGTCTTAAGGGATTAATAAATACTACTAATATTGTTATTATTATTATCAGGGGCGGTTTCTCTATTGGTTTATTTGTGCAGTGAACACCCAGTTAAATTTCATAAAAACACAATATTTTAATACTACATAAATAACATAAAAATATAAATTTAATTTTAATATTTTTATTTTAATACGTGTTAACCTATATTTTTTGTACATCATTATCCTCTGGCTGATCGCGTCTCTGTGTCACAGTATACCTAAGTATGCGCATTATGATGAGTGAGCCTAACACGAGTGAGACGATATGCCAAATGTATATAGCTAAAAAGAGAAGACAACACGCCAACAGATCCTTCAAACTGACAAAAATGTTACATTTTGTACTCAATTGTAAATACTATGTAGTAAGAAGTAAGCAAAAAATTTGTAAATTTTTTATTTCACAAAACCCGCTAAAAGGAAAAATTTAATTAATCTGATGAGGTAACTAGACATCATTATGGAAATGTACAATAAAAATTTGATAAAGATAAAGAGACAAATGGTTTTTCACTTTAAAAGTTTGAATCAGAAAAAAGGATCAACCAGTTAATTTAATGTACTCGATGAGAAATTTTATCTAAGAAATGGTATGTACATTTAAATAGTTTACCTATATAACGTTATGTTTTAACCTAGATCGTTTGTTGCATACAAACCAGAAATCTTTTATTTTAATGACAGTTTTTTATTGCCTTGTTTGTATAATTTAGTATTTTCAAAAATATTAGATGTTATGGTAATTTGAATCACTACAGGTATTAAATAAAAATAAGGCTATTGATCAATTAGTTTACAGTTGGTAATAAAGAATGTGTCGAAAAAGTCTCGAAATAAATATCAAACATAAATTGTGATTTTGATTAGGCACTTAACAAGTCACATCCCACATATCTACATGATCTGGCTAATCAATCATATAAGTACATACCAAAACATTAATATACTATCTACAATTAAACAATAATTTGAAAATACAGATGAAGCCCATTTACCTATTTAGACAAAATACTATTATTCTGTTATTTATTAAAACACATTATTTTTTAGTAAACATGGACATGCCATGAGGGTAGGACAGCAAGAATACTTTGGAATGTGCTGTTAAATACACTTAGAAAGGTTTATGCTGGATGAATGTTTCTTTCAAATTTCTTCAATTTTTTTGAAAAATATTTTTAACCACTCTTGAAATTTTATCCAAATTTAAGTTACTGTAACTGCGAAATGAAAGTTTAAATATTTGTAATTTTTGTAAACAAATTAAAACATTTTTATTTTTTGTACATTTGTGATAAATTATTTTAATTAATTTTATTACATTAAAATTATCTAAACATTGAAAAATATAATGAATATTATTTTTCAAATATTTGTTGGTATTTTTCATTTTAATTAAATCAAATCAAAAACAAATTGTTATTTTTTATCTAGTTAGACATTTATTTTTATAAATGATTTAAAACAATTTTATTTGTATTTTAAAAAATTTAGTTTGATTAATTAATTAATTTTGTTACACTAAATTTTTCTTTGCATTGAAAAATATGATTGATTTTTTTTATATATTTGTTGGTATTTTGCATTTCTAATTAAATCAAATGTACCTACCTACTTAAAACAAATTTCTATTTTTTTATCTAGTTGATATTTATTTTTAATATGATAATTTGATAAATTTATCTCGATTAAATTAACCTATTTTATTTTGTTATACTAAAATTATCTAAACATTAAAAAATATGATTGATTTCTTATAACATTTGTTGGTATTTTTCAGTTTTAATCGGATCAAATTTAAAACAAATTGATTTTTTTATCTAGTTAGAAAATATTTTTCATTTTTATAAATGATTTAGAACATTTTTATTTCATATACATTTAATAAAATTAGCTTAAATAAATTGCCTTAACTAATTTTGTTGTATTAAAATTATCTAAACTTTAAAAAATATGGTTAATTAAAAATTGTCTTTTTTTTAATATTTTTTGGTTTATTCGAGGGTTTATTTCAATTTTGATTTAGATCAAATTAAATCTAAATCAATTTTTTTAATCTAGTTAGATATTTGTCATTTTTATAAATAATTTAAAACACTTTTTATTTTGCATACATTTTGATAAATTTAGCTAGATTAAATTACTTTAGATATTTTTTATTTAAAATTATCTAAACATTGAAAAGTATGATTAATTATTTTTTATATTTGTTGGTATTTTTCATTTCTATTTAGATCAAATCGAATCTGAAACAAACAATAGTTTATCTAGATAATATTTATTATTTTTATAAATGATTTTAAATATTTTTATTTAGTATAAATTTTGATAGAAGTACCTTAATCATTTTTTTTTATCAAAATGTTTAAAAATATACATATTGACTTTTTTAAATAACACTATTAATAATATATATTTAAAAAATTATAAACATTACAAAGTAGGTAATATTAATAACAATAGCAAATAAATAAATATTATTACCCAATAGGAACAAATAAAAAATTTAAATATATAAGAATAAAAAGGAGGAAGAAGAAAATATATGTTTAAAAAAATTTCACTTCCATATTTGGCCTAACAAACAATGACTTTGAAGGATACCTGTAGGGTCTTTTAAGCATTATTTTTAGGAATCTCTTTTGTAGAATATCAAGTGGTTGTAAAAGTGTTTGTGAAGTACAACTCCACACAATGGTAACATATCTCAAATAACTTTCTACTAAGCTGTGATACAATATTTTATCAAGTTGATGTTACTACAGGCAATTTTATAATTTTTTAAATTTACATATTTTTAAATTTTGGCATATAAATGTTTTTTCTCCATTTGAGATATGCACGATATGCCATTTTTTATATCGTATCAGATCAAATCAAATACACAACGATATTTTTTTAATGTATTTTGCAACTCCACACAATGGTAACATATCTCAAATAACTTTCTACTAAGCTGTGATACAAGATTTTATCAAGTTGATGTTACTACAGGCAATTTTATAATTTTTTAAATTTACATTTTTTTAAATTTTGGCATATAAATATTTTTTCTCCATTTGAGATATGCATGATATGCCATTTTTTATATCGTATCAGATCAAATCAAATACACAACGATATTTTTTTAATGTATTTTGAGATTTGAATATGAATCAATTTTTTTTATTTTGTATGAATTTTAATAAATTTATTTTGATTTAATTACCTTAATTATTCTTCTACCGGTAAACACTACAATTATTTAATTTAAAAAATAAGATTAATTACATTCGTTGTCATTTTTTTATCAGTTCAAATTAAACCCAAAACAAGTTTTTTTAATCTTATTTGATAATATTTGTAAATGAATCATAACCTTTTCTTTTATTTTGATTTGATTTAGATAAATTTAGCATGATTAAATTGACAATTAATTATAATTCACCGATCATATCGAAGACATTTTATTTGTTTGTAACAAAATCTACTATACGATCTGGATATTTTCCCTATATTTATTTTGTTAAAATTAAAATTTGAAAAATATTACATATAACTTTTTTTTAGAGTTCGTTGTTTAACAGATCATCAGATTTGTTTGTTATTAACTCTCTAGATTGCTGACTTTGGTAGTCAATCACCCACCTGGATAGAGTTTCCGTCCCCACGCGGCTGCCACAGGGTCCAGTTCGTGAGCCGTTAGGGATAGCGCTGGCCAGGGAGACGCCGTCGGGTAACCGCGCTCCACGGGATGTCCCTCGTCCGACCTCGTCTTGACAGCTTATCGTAACGTCTTCCGAAGTCCTCGCCTTAACGGCCTCGCACACACCGAACAACAAACCGAAAAAAACAACCCCCAAAAACTCACCCGCACACTTTCAAACGGATATCTCGCGAGAGTTCCAGCACGGAGTAAGGTCAATTCGCGACTGGGACTCTGTATTGATAAGCGTTGAGAATATTCCTGCCTCTGGGGTGGGGCCCCGCCCCTCGGGATTCGCTCGGGGTGGTGGGCGGGGCGTAGTCGGCGACCCCGTGGGGCCCGGCCAATCGCTGGGGATTGCGGGAGCGCTCGGCGGCCAATCGGCGGGAGGAGATACACCCAGAACGGTCGTGTTGGGATGGTGTTTCTGGTAGTGGTCTCTGCTGGGAGATCGGAGAAGTGTTCAGTTTGCAGGAAGTGTGGCTTTCCGTCGAGCGGGTGCGGGTGTATCGCAGGAGAGTTCGCGTAAGCATGACGCGTTTCCTGCTGCTATAGTTCGTCGGCAGGAACCGTGAAGGATGCTGCGTGTAGCTCTCGTTAGATGATTGGATTTGTTTTAATTACGTAAATTGTTTTTTCAATCCTTTAGCATTCCATAAGAACCTGATGAGCTAATAAAGAAGGGTTACAAAAATTAGTTTTATCATACTGTGTTTTTATGGCTTAATTACCAACTACAGGGTCTTCAACAATACCCGTATTCCACATAATTAAATCATCATGACAGCAGTGGGTGAAAATAAAAGTAAAAATCCTTAGATGTAAGCAAATACAGTAGATATTTAAATACAAAATACAGTTCTTCTTTTCTTTTTATGGTCTGTCCATAAGAACAAAATAACAAGCTATACCATATTCGTTATCTGGAGTAGTAAAAGTTTTTTAAAGCATTAAAAGCCATGGGCAATTCAAGTAAAAATTAGTAATTTGAAAAATAGCCTATTATAATACCTATTTATATGTATATGTTTGCATTCTTTTTTTTTAATATTTAGTAGGACCCGATAGCAATACGATGAACACAGCTACGTCATCAATTGGCGGAGTAATTCATTGGCTATCGTCGCCTACTGGGAGTTTAGTGGCCTGTTAATTATAAAATTGTAAGAGTAATATTGTTAAGCTAAACAAATTACATAATATTCTTTATTTATTGATAGTTATAGATGATATATATTGGAAATTTGGAATAATAGTTATGACGTAACGGTATTCTTTTTATTGTAATCAAACTTTACCTACTATAGCCGAGGAGTAAAATTCTAAAGAAACAAATCCAAACACATTAACAAGCAATTTAGAAATGTTATTTCCTGCATAAGTGCTACTTTTAAAATGCTATTTTAAAAGTGTTAAGGACTAGGATCAAAAGCGGTTTCTCCATTGGTTCATTTGTACAGTCAACACCCACTATTCTGAGTAAGCGCTAGAGAGCGAAAGGTTTTCGTGAAAGCCTGTAGGTAAAAAGAGAGGTCAACACGTCAACAGATATTTGTTTTAGTTTGCTTCAGTAGTGTAAAAACACATAGTCTGCGCTAGGGAGTAAAATGATTGATATTAATACGCAGATATACCTTTATATAAACTATTTAAATGTTCATCCATTTTCCGATTCAGATTTGTAAAAGTATAACTGTAAACCATTTATGTCTCTTCATCTTATATAATATTACAAGGTATTTACCGTTTATTACTAAATTGTACGTTTCCTTATTTATGCTTAAAATAGTAGTATGGCTTCTACCTTAAACTTGAAGATGTTTTTCGGGAACAATCATTAAATTGACAAAATTTATTAAAGTCGCAGTTCTTATATAAACACAATTTTTAAATAAGCCCAATTAAAAGAGTCTTGTAGGGCTTTATTATAGGTTGTTCGGTTTGGAACAGTGATGCCACAATATATTTTTGTTATGCCAGATTTGTATAAAAAATGTACCATAAATGTAACAGAGTTTTCGAATTCTCTTTGCAGTAACGTTTAATTCATTGAAGAGGTATTTGTAGAGAACGAACACAAACAAAAATCACAATAGCTTTGTTCGCGGAGCCTGTTGCCAACAAGTACACGACTTGTCACTGATAAATAATCTGAAACGTTTGTGCGCAACTACGACTGACAAGAGATCCCGCGAACGACTTGTGTACCAAAATGACTATCATACACTTTAATTGGAAATGAAAAGTGAGGCGAAAGATTGTAGATTGGTGAAGTGAGTTTTTAGAATACATATCAGAAATATTGCATTGTAAAAATTGTAGTTTTTAATTGTTGTTTAATTTTTTATTAGTTCGAACATTTAATTTTTATAATTTATTGGAATAGTAGGCATAATTAAAAACTCAAGCAACCATTCCTCTTTGTTTCGTTCCATTTTTCTCTTCGTTAACGAATGTTTTGCATCACTTGTATTTACTACGCATATCCTGACAAATTGTCCACGATGTTTGCTGATCGTTTTGACTTGTCGGTAACTTTTCGTGTGCTACTGACACTGACAAGTGCCCCGCGAACGCTGGACACTTTGTCAAAATCCCTCATTTTCGGCTCCGCAAACGCCTAGTACCGAAATCCGCATGCTCATCTGTCGTAGACTTGTCGGCGACAGGCTATGCGGATAAAGTTAATATATATTTTGCTTCGAGTGTCCTAGTGAACGAGATTATTCGATAGTGGCAACACTGGTTTAGAAAGGTTTGTATGCCCTGCCTTATTTTGTGACGTTACTTCTTGTTTGTGTGCAATGCACCAAATAACGTGATTTTAAGCAGGCACATTATTTCACGGATCTACTGACGTGCTTACCTCTCTTTTTAGTTAAATGCATTCACGAAATCCTCTCGCTCGTCTTGCATTGACTCATCGTGTATCACAGATACAATAAACTTAAGTATACTGTGCCACAGAAACGCGATCAGCCAAAGCGCAGTGTCGTACCAAAAATATTGAGATTAACACGTATCAAAATAAAAATATTAATATGTAATTTTAAAATAATGTGTCTTTATGAAATTTAACTGGGTTTTCACTGCACAAATGAACCAATAGAAAAACCGCCCCTGGTCTTAGACATTGACATATATGTAAAATATCTTTGTGAAAATGATTAAACTTACAATAAAAACTGAAAAATGGTAGGTAAAGTTTCATATAATATTTTTTACACAAAAATCAATGTCAAGCTTCCTACATAACCTGATATATATTTAAAAATAATCTCAAATTATGAAAAAAGTCAGTTTACTAACTAATAATGTTTATAGATGGTTTTCAACACATCCCCAACTAGCCATTCATAAAAGTGTATTTGTTGTGAAGTTCTCATCATCATCTATTGTATAGTCCAGGAGACATTGACGATTTTCGGTATTTATTTTCCCAGTCAGCAAGCACGAATAGAGAATTGTAGGATTAGCAATTCTAAGCAAAATTCATATATATTTAGAGGGGGATCCGATGGGCTGAGGCCGAAAATGCGTCAAAAGATACGAGAACACGGCCTTTTTTTTCCATTGATAAAAATAGTTTTAGTAGAAAGAGATGTACTGAAGTTAAGTAAAAAAATAGTCTGATTAATCTGTATGGATAATATATTTGGCAAGTGCATAAAATACACTTTCAAACGAGTTATGTACACAATTATTTCTACGACCACAATTATTTAAAGAATGTTCCAAGTGTTTTGTATATTAAAGTGTACGCATATGACACATAAATAAAATCTTATATCACAATGTTTCACCTAACCAGTTGGTTTATTTATAGAAATTAAACGTAATAATTGAAGATATTACAGAAGAAAATAGGGAAATAAATTACATTTCCTTTTACACTTTTATATAATAATTGTTTTATTTAGAATTCACGAATCACTTATTACTCTACATTAATTATAATTATTGTTAGTTTCGTTGTCAAATCATTTATACTAGAGGTGTGAGGAAGATACAGTGAACTGTGGAACGCCAATATCGTTGGGTGCGCTAAAAACATAGCTAAATTTTCATGGAAACACTGTATACTTTTGACATTTGCGATACTCCGACGCATATGCATTATTGATGTAATCTCATGATTTTACAGTAATAGTTTTTGCAATTTTAGTGTGATTTTTAGGTTATTATGGTTATTCATTTTATTTGGTTCCGATCTTTTGCGCTTTTAGAGTATTTGTCTTTTATATAGTTTTTAATTTGAATTTTAATATTGTGGTCTATTTATATTTGATTGCTGCTTTTCGACTAGTGCTTTATTCTTTTTGTGTTAAAATAAGCTTTATAACCATTAGGTACATGCTAGTTGATATCTACCTAATCGTCATCGGGTGCTTGCAACAATGGGAAAAAGTGTATGGTTTTTTTGGTGTAAAGTTAGACACCTTCATTTTTCAGGTAAGTTATTTGTAGTTATTTTTTACTTAAAAGGATAGCAATACGTCCTGGTTCGGGGTGGACTTTTGGGTTTTAGCTATCTGAGCCAAATTGTCGGCTAAGTGTCCTCTTTTAGGGCACCCAGAACCGAAAACTATATAGGTATATAATATGCTTTAGGAAGAGATCCTAAGACTGAACACTGACTGCTATAATTGCCGTTTTTAGAGCACATTTCATAGTAAGTGATTTAATTCTAACAGCAATGAGGAAACGTTTAAAAAACATGCTGTACCAGCTATTACTTTAAGACCTCGTCTCTTTAAGTTATTAATACTTCATTCTAATGCATATATTAAAATGGTTTTTAACTTATGTCCTTATGATTAAAAGATGTAGGTATTTTAGTTATGTTATAATAGAAATATATGATACTTTGTATTGACTGACCTACTGGCCACTGGTCATTCCACTTTTACTCCCTTTTTTCATAAATTATCAAATTATTTAAAAACAAATAAGTACATACCTAGCTATTTTCTGTAAATTACATTAAAATTTTAGTGTTAATACTTTACTAATAAAACTTCAGTTAATTTATCTAATATGTATATATACACAACGGAAGAGTTAATTGGATTTTCTTCTTGTTGAGTTTCAAAAATAGTAATTTAACATGATTTAAAAACAAATACACTTGATTATAGTAAAGCAAAGTTAAGAGACCGTTTTCCTTCTGAAAACAATTACTTCTTTTGCTAATACCGCAACAGGCATTGTATTATATCAAAAAGAAAAGTGCAAAGATTAAACATATTTTCAACACTCTTGTTATTATTCCGCATTGTTCTAGAGAATTAGGTGCCACATTTTCCTTCCTAAGTACAGATGGCGTTACCAT